AAACATCAGCACCATTAAAAACAAGGGCCTTTGTCATTTTTACACCGAGTTTTACTTTAGGAGAGCTACGTATCGTAATTTTTATGCATCATTAGGAGTCTCCCGCTGCTCTCTTGTACATTGAACAAGTAATCAACAGGATGGAGGGCAAATGTGATCATTCTGCTTCTATTACTAACGGCAACACTAGCGCCATTGCTGCCGCATCCCTTCTACCTCGTCCTTCCACGCTAAAGCGTCCCACTCTCGTTGTGGTTGGCGGAATCAACTCCACGTACATCTTGGATTCTGTGGACGCCTTCTCTTTCGTTCGTGGACGGTGTCTTCCATGCCCGCCGATGCCTATCAGCAATTTGACCTGGTTTTCTGCTGCAGTAGCTGACAATACCCTCGTCATTACTGGCGGCATTCATGTGAGTGTAATGGCCTTTCAATGGTCTTTTAGTCAGACTGCTCTGTTATATAGCAGTTTTTTTCCTTTCATGAACTCAGGCAAAGCATTTTTCTTTGCAAGTGTTTCCGTCAACCGAGCTATTAATGTACCATTTATAAGGAATGGAATTTGCCTTGTCCATTTTAATACATTACGTGGAGCACTGATGCAAATGCTTTCGTGTGAGATCAGGCTTTTACGTAGTAACTTGGCGTCCGGGACTAATGTATGCCATTGGGCTGGGAGCGTATGAATCGAATTACGAAGGCTTTCTGGTTTTTAATGTGGAATTTCACTTTGGAAGATAAAAGATGCACTCATAGTTTATGGTATGACAGAATGTATGTTTTGTTGTTATCAAAATCTGATGATTCATTACCTTCTTCCGGTAACCAGTATTGAGATGGATGATTAATTGGTACACGCCCTTGTTCTTAGAGGTCATGGCTACCTCGTAGTGTTATTTTCATTTTCACTGTAATTTGCCATTTCCTCTTCCCTCAGGCTGGCGAAATAGTCTCTACAGTTTATCGATTCAGCGTTGAAGAGAATACTTGGAACCGGGGTCGAAGCATGCCCATCGCGCGGGCTCGTCATGCCTCAGTGGCTGTACGCGGCGGCCATGTCTTCCTTTTTGGTGGCGTAACTGTTGTTCCAGCAACAACATCCTTCTCTGAATCCACTGAGCGGAGTGGGCGAACATGGGCAACGGTGGAAGGAATTGGAGCAGGCAACTCATTGGGTAGTGAGGTGCCCGATCTCCTCCTAGTAGATTCCATAGATAGATACGATGTCTGGCGAGATGAGTGGAGCACTGTGGGACGCTCACGATACCCGCGACAAATGTCCTCTGTTGCCGTTGTTTCTCCTGTGTCCGTGACTGAGGATTCTCCCTCTGAAATGGGTAAGATACCGGTGGATTGATCTATTGGCTTATCGTTAAAAGTCCAACTGTATTCTTCCATTTCGTCTAGATCTTGATTATTGGTGCGATGAATAATAAAGGGTGTTAGCATTAACTGGTGCAATTATCTGTTTCATTGCATATTCTTTTTTGAGAAAACTAAAGGCATCGGCCACACTGTCACCAGTTTGGTAGCAGAGGTTCACTGAGTACTTACATGTCCCTTATTCAAAGCAATGGCCCCTCCAGCACAAAATTGAATGGAAAGTGCGAGTGGCGTAAGCCAATGATTTTTCATACTTTTTGGTCACGCAATAAACTAGCGAAGACATCGCTGAAGCAGCAGACTTAATTAGGATAGGAAATAAGAACATTAAGCATGAAATGCCCTGTTTTAATCAATTATATGTCCCCATTTTAAACAAAAATTGGTGTAATTACATGTTAGCAGTAATGTGGCCGGCAAGGTTAGGAAGAATGGCAAGCTTTTAATGGACCTGCTTTGTAAATTCCCTCCTGTCTTTGTATCGAGCGCCTTCGATTCTTGTAAATTTATTGGATGCTGAATTGGGGACGTTTCAGGGCTCATTTGTCCCATTGGATGTTAAGCGTTGAGTGTCACTTTGCATTTTCATTGAGGGGTTCCTTTTTGCATGCGCCGCAATTTTACACGCTTGTTTCATTGTAGTCGAAGGGCGAGGATCAGGCATCCATGCGCATACTCCATGCCACACAGTTGTGGAGTTGGGTGGCACTCTCGATGTGCAATCAGACCTGGTATCTGAAAAGATGGCCATCTATCACATCAGGCCCAACCTCTCTGTTGACTCGGCGGATGACTATATTGTCCTCCTGCGACCAGTGCGCTACGCCAAGTGCGTCACCAATCAGGTCTGTCGTTTTCGGTTATCACCTCTTGAGTACACTTTTCGATGTTGTGTCAGGGTCATCGTTTTCTTTGCCTCAAAGTTGTCTATAGTTGCAAATCAGTGTAAATTCGTTTTGGTGTGCGTTAATTCATAACTTTTTAACTATGGCTTTTTTATGATTTCGCCTTGTCTCTACCTCCTGCACTTTAAAGCAAAGTTGATTACCTATTGCACGTACTAGGTAACCCACCTCAGAGATGTGTATCTTATATTAGAGTAAAGTGTTTACCTCTAAAGACGTCACCAAATCTGTGCTTGTACCTTTGTGGATGCAACACTTCATGAAATTGAAAATGAAGAATTTTCCCTCATTGGTCCTGTTTGCTGCAACAACCACTTTTGAGCAATCGAAATGTAAGCTATTAATAGCACTTGTGTAGTAGCAGGTATAGCCAGTGACAAACTGTGAAGTTGAAATAGATACTTCTCCACTTTAATGCAGTCAGGAAGATTGGTGTACATATTCTGGGAGGCGAGCGGTGAACTTTCGGTGCTTGATTTCCATCGTCAGTCGTTGCGTACCCTGCGGCCTCTTACAGAGACAGGGCGCTCAGATGGCGGATACTGCGCTGCCCACTGCGGCTGTGCATGGGTAGATGGGCGCCTTTACGTCGTTGGTGGGTTCAGCGCCTTCCTGGGTGCCAACCAAAAGCGTCCCATTGCTCCTCGGCACTCCGTCCACTGCTACGATCCTGGCACGGATACCTGGTCAGCTCTTAAGTGTCATCTACTCGCTGCCTATAGTATTTCCTGGTACTGCGGGATCACATCCATTGGCTTGCAGAGTACTGCGTTTAGGAGCATTTAGTTCTGTTGAGCAATTTTAACTTCCTGTAAGAATGAATAAGTTTTATTTATGAGTTTTGCAACGACTCGACATGCATTTATCTGTCCAAGAGTTATCGGTAACGAGTTTACGACATAGCAATATTTTGTCATTTCTTGATTCTACAATAGTAAGACGGGTCCGAGTTTTGTGTAAAGATTCCAATCGCCATCCCAGACTTCTACGCTCGTCAAAAGCATGTTATTTGCTTTGCCAGTCGTGAAATTTTGCACCCACAGAAAGATTAGTCCTGTTGCAGGCTGAATGTGTTCACGAGCGCATCGTCGGATGAAGTGTAGTACTCTTCACAAAGTTCACACCAACTTGGAATGTCTCTAGCACACTCCTGTACTTACGATCTTCTGTTCGATTTAAAACAGTCAGGTTATTTTTCCTTATCGTTTCCAGGTCGGAGGTTTCAATGTTCAAAGATGAACGAGTGACTTTGGCACGGGCGATTTGTAGCTGCGTTGCCTTGGAGATGTGATCCACGTCACGACTACTACACACTAGTTTTCGTGTTACTTTCATCTCCTTCTCTTGTCCGCTACATAGTCTCTTTCACACTCATTGCAACCTGTACATAAAATACAACCTCGTTTATCTGTGATACCCTTGGGGGTTTCTGGCCTAACGCTCAAATCGGGTTTGGGAGCGCGTCTGGCACTCTTTCGGTGTGGTAATTCTGGGGTAGTATTTGAGTGCTGTTGATAAGTGCGTTTCGAGACACTTGACAATGACAGTTTATGAGTCAGGAAAACTGGTGACCTTGTTTAGTGGGATTGACTGCGGGGAAGGAATTCACAGTGGGTAGAATGCGCCACTGAGGTCTAGGGTTAAACTTGCATATGTCATTCTTTGTGTAGGGGCTCTTGTAGAAGTTTATTCTTAGATTATTTAACCAAAATTTGACTCAATCACGTAGAACTCCCTCAATACAAGTTTAGTGGTCCTTGAGTAATCCAGGGGCCCGTGGGGTTGTCTGCAAAGCGATGATACTTTAAGAAAAATCAATCCAGTATTTAAGTAAGAAATTTTACTTCAATTGTCTTTATTGTGGGTTCTTATTACCATAGGGAGATCTTATTCGCCTGTTGCTCATGGTATTTTGTATCGAAATCTAAAAGACGTAAAAGCGGTAACAGTAAGTTTTCATCGACAACTCATGCGATATGCACAGAGACACTAACATATAAAGGGCAACTGGTGTACAATCGATTATAAAGGAACTTAATAGCCACTGCAAATCGTTTAAATGCTTCAAGAGCACATGAGTCGGAAATCTTATGAAAGTGAAGGTCATGCAGAGATCGTAGTCCTCGAGATCATACATTGGTTTTTTGACACTGATAAGAGGGAATGTAAGTTATGTTTCCGCTTAGACCTGAGTATTTACTTTGAACTCATTAGCATCAGGTTTTAAAATACAACTTTGAAATAGAGTTTGTGCATTGCACAAGAATTAAATAACACACCTTCAAAATCTATCACTCTCTACTTTATGCGCGAATAAAGGTTATTTCTTGGAATTGCACTTACTTGGTCTCTAAAATAATTAGGTTCATAAATTTATTTTTGAAAGTAAACAACTCTTTGCCTTTTTCTACATTATGTCGAGTTGACGAATCTTTAATTCATAAAGTAGTGGTAGATTCGGTTAGGCTTTTATTCCTTTATACTGCGGACACTGCTCAGATACGTAACGAATATTTTCTTTATTAGATACGTGAAAGGTTCAAACCTACACCCATATTAGATTGAGTAAGGACATTGGATTACTATACCTGTGTTTATTTCGACATTTCAGAAACAATAGTTTGAATTAAGTTGCATTTGCTAAGCAACTAACATTAATCTTACTTCTCGTGCTTAAGTAATCGTTGCTTAGCAGCCTTTCTTGTTTTTATTATAACACTTCTACGTGATCCCTTAAGTTCTTCCAAAGCTACACGAACGAGAGCAAACTTGCCCTATTTCCAATAATAGTCGTATTATAACTTCACAGCTCACTTTTACAGTGTTTTTTCTAAATACTAGTTAAATCCTGTCATCATTATAAAAAATAAATGGCGTTGCACCTCATGTGAGTCAACACTCATTCGCGAACTCGCGGTGAGCTCAGGAACTTAGGTCGGCAGAAATTCACATATGTTGGACCAGGTACTCAGAAAATAGGATAATTGACATCAACAAGCTGTTAAAACTCGGCAATTTTAAAAGCTTAATCAGTTCTTACATCACCAGCAGTTATGTCTTCTTAGTTAGTTTAGCTCTTGTACGCTGACCACATAATTATTAATTTATAACTATTGTACCGGAGCTTGGTTGAATCAGGCATAGATAATTCTATTCAGCTCCACTGCTAAGCGTCATTCTGATTGGCCCTCCATCCTCGCGTGTCCAGCTTTGCTAAGTGGGAACCCTGTTTGTTGATTCCTATTCACATTATCTTGCCTGTCGCACTCGACTGTGAAAGCAAGTATATCATTCTATTTCTACCCTGCTCTTTTTTCACATGTGATTTCCATACACAATAATATGGTTGCACTTGGTTGCTCAGCTTCCGTACAGTCTCGCGTTTCATTCGTGAGCATACCGCTGCATCGATACGAAGAAAAGTTACTTTTCGCTAAAAGATTTGTTTTAATTCTGTGACACTATTTTGTATTGACTCTGTAGCTTCTTAAAAATTTAGAATAGGTCAGGATACAAATAAACCTGTGAGTTTGCAAAGAAGCTATTCTTATCCAAACTGCAATTAGTTGCTAATGATTGGCTCCAAACTCTGCAGCTAAGTTTACTTAAACACTGCATATTGACTTAAGGGATAAAAGGTACAAATTTTTGATTGTGCAGAAGAGAACTCATTACTTAAGAGATGCATAGAACCCTTGATACTTGTTCATCTTTAAAGTTTGTTAATGTGGGTCTTTTGTTTCCTAAAAGGGGCATGTCCAACATCTCCAGAGCACCTTCAGTTTTGCAATTTTTCAAATTGATCGTTTGTCTTGCAGTCTTACTTGTTCCCTGCTTAAAAGGATTTCACTATCCGAGACCATACAGAGGCACTCTGAAAGCCAATCAAAGTTAAAGCTCTCCGATGTTGTAAGACTTTGGTGCATAAAGGAAGCACCAAAATAATTGGCCAGGATCTATAATTGATCGTCGTATATCTCTTGAGGCCTGATATTATCATTTCGGTGGATAGTCAGATGGGTTCATCCATGTTATAGCAAATGCCAGCCCCCTAACCATAATCTGAAATGTTAGTTTTCTTCATGCCTTTCTCGCAGATGCTAGTCGGTTTATGTAACTCTGAAGGAAAGCTCCTTACTTTTAAGCGCTGCACACCCTTTGGTGGCTTTTATCCCATGAACTCCGCCGAAACCTTACGCTTTGTTACGATCGAAGCTCTTATGAGGCAACTGCAAACACCCACTTGATTTTTGCTCCCCAATTGACCATTTCACAAACTTGATCTCAGGCTCCTGATTGTATATTTTTTTAACTTGACAAGGAGACAAACAAATGCCAATTTCTTAACAACTCACTTTTGCTAAATTGTTGACGAGATTGTCAATTTTATGATGTCGTCTTTGAAGTAGGCTAATTTTGGACTGAAGCCGAAAATCTCTTATGAAGGTGGATGTAGACTTTTAGAGTATTATTTATTGCAGCAGGGTGTGGAGATTTATACAATAGCCTTCTCCTTGTCAATTGAAGCTTGTTTTGCAAAGCACTTGCTTCTTTCACTTGCTCTTTTTGGACTTTAAGGTGGTCTTTGGGAGTTTGAGCTACCAAAGAAAATGGGCTTCAATAAAAAATTTATGACCTACCTTTGGATGAGGCACTGAAATTGTCCCTTTTCAAGTCTAAAAGTCGCGCTTAGATAAGTAGCATTTTTTGTCCTACCATTTATCATGAAGAGAAATTGGCTGCCCGTTGGAGCTATTCTGTTTTCACGAGGATAACTGTGCTTATTTCTGGTAGGTGAAGCAGCAAACGGTTAGCAAAATGCACTATCCTAACATTCGCATCAGTTTCACCGAATTCGATATTTTGACTAAAGTAAAAGGTCACACGCATGGAAGATTTACGCCTTGTATAAGCCTCCTTTACGGCACAATGTGCATCTCTCTTTTACCCAAGCAGCAATTATTCACGTTTAGCGTCTTCGTTCTTTCCTTAACGCAAAAGGAGGCGCACCACGCATTGTCGATGTCTGTAAGGGATGAGCTCTGAGACCATGCGCCTCAAAAGAAGTACAAGTGTGGAGCCCAAAGTGCTTTTGAAACCAAAACAAAGAGTCAAACTAATCACTCATGTTTTGCGACCTTCAACAAATTGACCTTATTATCCCCCCGGATCTACGTGTGTGAGTGTGTATGTTTACGCGAACTTCGAGTAAAGTGCGGAGCGACGATGTCGGAATTGCTTTGAGGTCTGTGTCACCGTTGTCCATGAGCCTTCTTGTTATGTTGCCGCTTCTCTCAGCCAAGTTTTTCGTAAATCAAGTAGAACATTTTGAAGGATAAATATAGCTATGGCAAGCATTGATTTGTTTCGCGTCAAAAGGTGGTTTTTATTAGTCCCAGTGGAGCGTCTGACTCGAACAATCCCGCCTTATTTTTCTGCTCAATTCGCTTATCTGACCTAATCGTACACGTTGCTTTTCTAGATACACAGTTAAACAAATTGTTAGTGGCTAGTCCTGGTAAAATAATTGCGAAAGTGAAATAAGTGGTTATGTGTAAAAAACTCCTACCTACCTCCTTAAATATGAGTTAATTAGAAAAGAGTGGGGTATTTCCATTCTCCTTGGTGCGTTCTGCTAATGGGATGGCTTTGATGAATTTGGCTGGGGTAGATTATTTAAGTCCTCTGGCATGCAAGTCAAAAGGCACTGAGTTTGTTCTATGCTTTAGCGTACAGGAGGCGAAATCCCTGTTTGTTATGAGTCTTATTACCAAGTTGACTGCTGTATTTTGTGGCAGTCTCGATGTCACTCTAGCCCAGTCTTCTGAGAATGATACTAAGACTTTTTTAAGGATGCTTTCTTTAAATGTAATTTGGGTGATAGGAAATTTCTGCTAGCTGGTATTTGTATCCCTTTGAAATGTGCTGACTTCGTTACACCACATGAGTTGACGAAAGGCACAGTAGTGAGGTGTGCTGTCGAAAACGCTTTGACCAGGGTAGATAATGCAGTGTAAGGCATACTTCGAGCTCCTTTTTGTTGCTAGGCTAAGCAATGCTGACTTTATGAGAAAATTACGCTTACTTGCTGAGTAATATGGGAAGTGGTCACGATGCATAGTGCCTGGGTTACTAGTCATCGGTATCCCATCAAGCGTAGCGCATTTGCACATCTCGTTGAGTCAGGCAGTTAAGTTGTTAGGAAAGCCGACCGAAATTCATAAAATAACTTTCAGCGGCTGTTTAGCGCATTTTCCAGGAGAAAGTGTTTCTCAATTTCCCGCATTGCAA